GCTAGGTCTCGGTTGACTGAGACTTAACCAAGCCTCAGTCGAATGATATAGTATATAAAAAGAAAAAGAAAAAACTGAAGAGAAGAATGTACAATTCTCTATGCAAGATCTAAGGGATATAGTATCGACTAAGACATAACGAAGTCTTAATCGGCGGAGACTTAGTAAAACTGATTTATAATGTGTACAGTCCAATAGTATAATCAACGGCTGACCAACTGCCACTTAGAGAGAAAATTGTAGTGCCATCACCAAAAACTTCCCAATTAGTTTATCAAACCACAGAAGAAAAAACCCCAGTTTGACTCATTGTACATCAGTGTTGATGTACAGGCAACGCTCTTCAGATTTAGGCTGTGCGTCACGGCGGGGGCAGCTGGTTGAGATGAACCACACCACATTGTTAGACTGAACGAGTCATCCGCTGCCTAAATACTTCAACTAGTCATGTGCTGCCGCTGCTCTACTCTCTCTCTCTCTCTGTACTCTTCTTATATACTTGTAACCCCTTTGTGGATGAATACAATGAGTTCGCAGGCTATTCTAGTGACTGCATGCACACTAGATATAATTTACACACATGAGCTGAGAAGCATGTGCCTGAAGATGGGTTAGTTCGTTGCTGCACTGTGCGTGAAGATGGATTAAGCCGAGCTGCAGCCAGCAGGGGCCACTGCTACCTAGTAGTAATGAAATAAAATCGTTTGGGCTGGGGGGCCACGGCCCCCTCAGGTCATAACATAGCTCCGCCGTTGGATTTACTACATGATGAGGTTGAGCTGCTGGGTTTCCAGGGTAGGTATGAGAGGTGTTCAAGCATTTCTTGTGACTGTCGCACACCTTTTTTTTGCCGGGGGGAGGGGGGGTTACTTCAACCCTTGAAGTACACCCTTGGGGAAAGGTTAATGAAAGTTATGATATAATTGATATATTTTGATGGAATACAATGAAGTTTGTAATGTTACGATGGAACGGCCTGGAATGTACCGTAATCAGGAGTGGAACTTTGTTTAAAGCAATATACATTTTATATCTTTGTGTCAAATAATCTCGTAAAGATGGATTTATAGTGTCTCGTCACTAGTTATTTCTTACTGATGGACATCACCTGCTCATCAGTAGAGACGATCATCCCCTGCCCATCTGTGAAAGCTACCCTCCAGTGACATTTGCATGCCAACAAAGACCGCCGCCCGTGGAGAGGGTTAAAGACTTCAAGTGGCAGATGCCAGATAGTAACATCTCAAAGTACAGATGTCATAGATAAAAGGAAGCAATTCGTCGTGCTTTTGCACGAGAATTTGTTACACATGTGTAGATGCACACATGCACAAGTACAATTTCCAACCACGCGCCCAAATACACACGCTACGTACTCGTAGGTGCTGGTACAGCTGGTCTCCGAGACCTTATTTAATTCATTCATGCATGCGTAGCAGCAGCAGAGCGTCGGCGGCGTGGAGATTACGAGTTGACCTTGGAGCAGACGAGCCTGATCTGCCCCTGCGTCCCAGTCTTTGGCGCAATGTTCCCCATCTTCACCATGGCTGTGGCGAAGGCGTTGTTGAATGTCGCTGCGCTGGACGCGAAGCTCATGACCGTGTTGTCGGCACCGCCGCCATTGAACAGCGCCTGGTCCGAGTGTAGGAGCCCCTTCTGCGAAATCAGGTTGCTGTAATAGGCGTTGTCGAAAGCGTTGGGCGTCGCTGTGTCCAGCGGCGCCAGGCTGCTGTCGCCGCCGGACTGGGGGCAGTTGGCCTTGAGCGCCGTCGCGAAGGCCGTGTTGATGTTGGCCTCGTTGTAGATCCTGTTCCTGAAAAACCGGCACTGCGATTGTCCGAGCGTGTGGGCGCCTGCACAGCCATACGTGTCAGAATTAGCGTCCCTCTAGCGAGCCGTTGTACTAGTAAAAGTTTCAGTTCAATCATGATTCAAACTCATCGATGGTGTGTACCTGAGAGCGCAACCATGTCTGTTATGCTGAGCTGCTTGTTGGCGAACGCGGTCGTGAGGTTTTGGAGGTCGAAGGTAGGAGGTGGGAGGTCATTTTCTGCATTGGTCTTGCTTGCGGTCGTGGAGTCCCTCCTCCCCAGAAGAACAGGCCATGTTGGCCCTCCCAGCTACACAGAATTTTAATTTGAAACCACAACCAAGAAAGTAGAATCACACGCATCGACCATGTGCAGAATCACACACATTAGAGCTAACTGTAAAGCTTACCGCAACGACGGAGTCACGGGCGGCGACGGCGAGGATGTCGGCGCAGGAGACGGTCTGCGTGCAGGCGGCCTCGACCTGGGTCTTGATGTTGTCGATGACGTTCATTCCTCGAATGGAACCGGCGTTGGGAGCAGCCCCCTGCTCGCCGACGAAGCTCCCCGTGTCTGCCAACAGAACGGACCCGTCACATCCCTGAAAAAAAGGTACAGAAATGCCAATCATTTGCCTGTACTAACGTCCGTGCATATGCTACAACTGACTAAGGTTATGTGAGACTTGCATCGACAAAGCAGTCGTGGAAGTGAAGCCGGACCAGCGACGCCCCCATGCGGGGCTCGCTATTCACTGCGGCCTGGACCGCAGTTTGGATGATGAACAACGCGCTCGGGCACGATGCGAGGTAGAACGTCGGCGACAGCTGCGCCGATGCCGCGGAGGCCATTGCCACGAGCACCAGTAAGCTAAGACAAGGAGCAGAAGCCATCGCTAATCTAAACCACTAGTGTATAATACACAATGTTATTTGGTGTTTCTGCCTCACCTTTTTTGTGTTGGCCGTGGCTTGCAAGAGAACCATACCAGCAATGCACATATATATAGCCAGAAGAGGTTTGGAGCACGGTGCCCTGGGCTAAAACGTCCACATTTTGTGCCTAACTTGACCATAAACATCTCTTGAGAATCATTATCGTCGAGCAAGGTTACCCCACAAGCGATTAGCATGGACATAAACATCTATTCCGCATGAGCTTAACATGGAACGTTCTCACATTGATTTGATTGCGTATTCAACATAAAATTATACGGCCAACACCAAGTTGGCACTATTCGGGCAAAGAATTTGGCTGCATTATTCGCTCAGTGTATGCATGATTGCATATGGCAGTTCGATATGGCCTTATTATATTGCTTAGGCGAAAACATGCACTCAGTGGCATATCATATCGGCAGGATACATACACCACACATGTGGTTTGTTTCTAAACGACGTGGCAGTTTGATCTATGGGTCAGGAGGTATCAACTAATCCGCAGAAGTTGTGTATAATGTGTCATATTATCTCCCTCTTCTTAGTCTTCTATATGGGTTAAACACATGGGATAAGCTAGCTAGTAATGGGTTCAAATACAAACTTGATTACGCCGGTTACCATAGAGGAGATCCGATTAATATAAATAATCAACTGATCATTTTCTGTATAATACAGAACATTTTTCTTTTCTTTTTGGAATGAAGGATAAACTTCGTGGCCTCTGCATTCTCAGAGACACACACATATATGTTATATTAATATGGCCATATATTATGGAATATCGATTTTATTTTGTAGTAATCACATGGTCGACCCAATCCAGAGTGCACTAGATCGGGTTTCAGCTTCTGTGGAGTTGGAACTTCACTTTCCCCTATGTGATCTTAAGGCCCAAACCAAATCTGATTGGATCACCCCCCCCCCCTCCCACACCCACCCACCATGCATTGTTTTTATATTTCTCTCTTTTTATTTTTGTTTTTGACTGCGTGCATCCTTGATGTCTTTCGATATCTTGTTGGTGCAGAGGCTTGGTATAATTAATATCTTCGCGATATTAATATATTCTCTTTATAAAAAAATTAAAAGTTGAAAATGGTATGAATTTCAGTGTTTTGTATACTATTGGGGACTATAATTATAGGATTTGGCTTATATATTCCAATAATTAGTCTGCTTCTATGAGCTTTTGGCCATCTTGATCAAGCAAGTTGGATGCACTCCACTAGTCCGTACGAGAGCTTTCATATATTCATACCTCTATGTGCAACCTAGTTGCATGACAATCTCTAATCCTTGCATTAATATTGATTATGAGGTCTTCCTCTTGCCCTAATGACCCCTTTCACTGAACCAAGATTATCTTTAATTTTGACTGCTTTTAACCCCCAACATTATGTTCTTATGCCAATCATTAGGGTGTGAAACCTAGACTTGCGCTTGGATTCTACACTAATTTGATTGATTTGTTGAAATGGCACAGAAAAGCAATAAGTGTTTGTATTTTTTTCTTGTATCAAGGATTAGTCTAGAATTGATTTTCATGCTAAACATTATTTTTTATGAAAGCCATTACTGTTTTCTCAATAAATAATAACATTCTTTTGAAACTTTGGCACTGGTGATATTGACTTCATGCATTTGATTATCAAAGAATTTTGGGAACTTTTTTGTATGCATTGAGATAGTTTGGGAATATTAAATGTAGACCATTGTCATGTATATATCTTAGCTATTGTTTAGACCCACCAAAGATTATACATCATAGGATCACGTTCTTGATAAGTAGCATTCACATAAAAAATCATCCTTGTTTATCATCTTAAATGCTTGAGGATGAGCATGGATTACGCTTGGGGATGCTGATACGTCCTAAACATATTTATAGTTTCTGTATTGTTCATGGCTTGTGTCCATCACTTTTGCAAAACTTTTGAAGTTCTATTGGAACTATTTGATTACTTATGTGTCCAATGCTAGGACTTGTTTTTGTTGTGCTTTTGTTTTTTGGCAAAATAGAATCTCTATGCTTTTGAAAAACAAAGTCTAAAAAATTACAGAAGTTGTTCTTATACTAAAGAAGCACTGTGAAAGAGCTAGGACACTTGGGTAGGCCTTGGAAGCCTAGACAACACCTGGACCCACCAGATCTCACTTGTTATATACCCCGAAAAGCCTATTCATATTTCTTGAGTACTTTTTTTCCCATGGCCACTTCGTGTTCTGAGGCAATCTCACCTTCAGCCCTGTTCCGGCACTCTGTCAGAGGAGGAATTCATCAACATCAATCATCGTTGCTCCAATAACAACCACGAGTACTCCACCCAAGACTGCGGAATTTCATAGCTGTAGGAAATATGTAATGTCCTCCCTTATTTTTTCTGCGTGAAATCTCCCCCCTTGTAGTTCAATACAGTGGCCACACAGCTGCCTACCATGAGTGTGGTCAATCTGATGTGTACTTTGTTGTGATGTTGATCATGTGAATAATTATTCATTTATGTTTAGATTGTGTTGATGCTTACGTTCGGTTGGATTCATATTGTTCCCCTGTTATTTGTTTTCTCTTGGCCAATTTAGATGGGTAATCAATAGAGCAAAAATGTGCATTAGTTGGATCTAATTGTGCATGTAATCTATGTGGTGATAGTAAATGGAAATTGCTTGTATTGTATTATTGTCACTAAAGATAATGGATAATAAATTTGTTTGTCTTGGTGATGACCCAAAGCCTTAGGGGAATATTATTCAAATGTAGGTCATATTACTCAACAGAATTATCTGTTTTATTACATATTACTTCGATGATGCAGAGGTATCTCACTCAAAGAATGGAACACTTTCAACAAGTTTTACTTGTATTTTTTTAGTTATTATTTATTCTAAAAATACAAAATTATTACCTTTCACTAGAACCTGAGTTTTGGTTCCCATGCTCACATGCTCCCGCCGATGAACAATATAACCAGCAAAAAAAACTGTAATTATTTGTCGTGCAAGATGCTTCTGTGTGTGATGTCCGTGCAAAATTTGGTGAAGTTTGGATATTTGAGGAGCTCGTGGCAAAAAAAATACAAATTTCAGGTGTTTGAGAAACATTTGAAACAAGCACAGTTCGGAGCCAATTTTATCTCTTTTGCCACGAGCTCCTTGAATATCCGAACACCTCGAAAAATTGCACAGTCATCACCAATGTTGAGGATATCGCTTATCGTTATCGTCTCAGTCAGCCAGAGATTAGAGATTAATCGGAAATCGACCGATTAATTGGATATTTTTTGCAAATCTCAGGTTCTCAACACTAAAATACGCTATATTCAACACCAAAACAATATTGGACAGATGTGTTACCTTGATTCCTAGCCTTTGAATCCTCGTATAATGACAAACAAAATAGGATAACAATACAAATTGCCTAAAAAGGTCAACAAAACACAAATAAACATAGTTTTCGAAAACATAGTGCTATGAATAGGTCCGATTTATCGATAGATTTCCGATAAATCACTCGTCAGAGTGATAAATCGGTCCAAAAGATAAATGGTGAAGATAAGGCATAATCTTATCGGTCACCCCTGAGTAGCGATAAATCGGAAGATTAATCGCTGAATCGGAAGATTTCTTGAACAATGGTCATCACACACTTGAGAATCTTGGAAGACAAAAAAATATCATTTAAAAAATTCCTGCTTTTTTTATTTTACTGTTCACCAGGTCCAAATGAGACCGGGCACTGTTTTGAATTATCGCATTCATATATCATTCAATACTTTGCACAAATAGCAAAGCTAGTAAGGATTGACACATTGCTCGTGTTGTTGGGGGCATAAGTGAAGTTTTGGCATCACCATGGAGTCCCATGAGACCCATGCAGTCTTTCTTTCTATGGCTTTATAACTCCAGTCTTTCTTTCTATCGCTTTATAACTCCACCAGAATTTTCGGATCATCATGTCGAGTTGTTGGCATAATCCTCCAAGTAACAAGAAATAAGACATTGAATAGGTTGGAATGGCTTCGGCGACTGATTCAAAAAGATTCCATCTGCCATCCGTTGATAAGCTTCTCTAAATCCACCCTTGACTTTGCTTCCACAAGCGATCCTTTAGATGTTGAAAATCACCATTATTCTGCCTAACTACATCACTTCACGGACCAAGGTACCCTTCAGCCAAAATCTCATTATATACATTCAACAAAGCCTTTATTTGGTTCCTTCTTACTCTTGGACACCCCTTGCGAAAGTAGATATCTGGTTCATCAAGGTAAACTCATTGTCCCGAGGCTATATCACCATCAGGTGGCTTCTATATATCTGATCATCACTAGAGACTTCATCTCCACCGATCGACGTATTGTGCCCATAAGTGACTAGGCCGAACCCAATGGATGAGGCCCTTCACCCCGTTCCTGTTGTCTATAAAAATGAGCAAGGGAAGGGAAAAACCTAACTAGATCCCTCTCCATTCCTATGCCCATTCTTGCTCCTTGGGTGGCAGCGGTGTAGCCCTCCTCTTCTTTGGCACTTCCACACCTTGTTGTTGCCTCCTTCACCACCACGCCCCCGCCTTTCCCTCCTAAGTGCACCTCTCTTGTACCACCACGCCCCCACCTTTCCCTCCTAAGTGCACCTCTCTTGCACCACCACGCCTCGCCTTTCCCTCCATGACCCATCTCCTCCTTCATGGGTCCCCCCTCTCCTCGCGGAAGCCTCCTAATCGGTTCTTCATTGCTAGTACGTTAGGATCTCCCATGTCCTGACAAGCAGATGTGTGCCAACATCCCTCGATCCAGATAGAACTTGGCGCCTCCAGCGCCTCCTTCCCAAATCTCGGTCGGCATACACTTGACCTAGGCACGGATAAGTATTCACATGGACCTATAGACTGTTGGGGTTGTACACATACACTACAACCCTGGAAGGGATTAATGAGATTGATGGTGATCAATAAA